TGGAAGGATGAAAATTCCAATCTAAGTAAGAAATTTTTCATTTGACCAGTAAATCTACTGTACCTACTAAATTGATATTTGTAAATAGCCCGAACACCATAGTTCTATTTTCTTTATAATTACCAAAACTTTACTCAATAATTAGCCTAAAGCATAAAAGCCTAAATCTCTAAATTTTGATCAACATGAAACAGACATTTTAACTTACAGTAAGAAGTAAAGCAACATTTAAGCAAAACCAGTATTAGATATACTTAATGATTAGAAGTATTCTTTTAGATCAATTAATCAATTGGCGCAGATCAATCTTATCTAAAATACATTTTTTCACGATATAGAAGCACCAAGAACTTGAGCCTTTAATTTTTGTTCTTGATCGAAGAAAACTACTAACAATTTTCAGAGGGCCAAATGCCTTTTCATTCATTACAATTGAAATGATGATTTGAGAACAAACTTGTGCATATGCCTGATCCGAAAGATGAAACACTCTTCTTTGATCAAATACTTCTACTGCAATTTTGCAATGTGTTCTTGCTTCACAGCAGTTTTGTCATAGGAATTTATGATAAGGAGTCAAGGGTGTTAACAAATAACAGGGGGAGTTTAGCATAAAATCGTTTTTATAAGAAGCGTTGAGAATTTTTAGTACTGAAAGATTATTAATCTTTTATTGAATTAACTCTCACTCTAATACTTTCTGATCAATACGGGAATTATTATTCCAAACTGTAAAGTTTCAAGTTTCTTATCCGGAAATTCACCTTGCCTGTTCGTAATTTGATTCAACTCCCGTCAGAAAGAAAGCAAACAGGGCAATTGTGCAATTTGGATCCAGTGGAGACGGGTCAACCTCAGCCTGTGAATTTTAATGTTTAGAATTTTTACATTTGAAATAAAAAAACTTCTTAAAATATAAAATTCACAAGTTTGGTCCTAAGAAAAAATTCCAAGTCAACCGTTATGTTTTCCAACTGTAACTGGATTTTCCAAACTTTGGGGGGGCGTCACGCCCCCACGCCCCCCTATTATTTACGTGCCTGATTTCACCTAGCATGATCGCCTTTTAACTTTTTATTGTAGAGATATTTAACTTGAAAACAGACGTTGGTTGTTTCTGTAGCTGTGCAACCTCTTCCTTTTCTCCCCTACGTTCACCCGGCTTTAATCTGAACTTTCCTAAGGACACGGAGTATCCTTTTTGTATATAGTTTCTAGAGATGTCATCTGCCCACCCCCGGTTAGGTTTACCCTTGTTGTGCCTTTATCACTTCTCCCCAACAACCGCTATTGTCCCTTCTGGGTGCAGTCCTTCAAAGGTTAGGAGAAGGTTCATGTTCGCAATAAGAAGCCACACCTATAGCCACACCCAATATACTTGCTTTAGACTGCTTTGCAGCAAATTCCAGCAAAGTTTACAGAAAGTGCCAAATTTTTGAAAAAGGCCTAAATTACTGAATAACTATCTAAGCAACATGAAATTTCTGCACTAATTTAGCACGAAGATTCCAACTTTCTGATTCATCTTTAGCAAATATGAAGATAAAAAATTGTCAAAGCTAACTTACAACCACAAATAGCATGATAGATTGTTGCCAACCATAGAGAAACAGGTACCGTGGAGCGTTGAGAAAAGTTGGGGGGTCTAAAAAGGTGGGGGGCTAAAACAGAATAAAAAATTGCTTGACTGGTGATTCATTGGTAATTTTTTTGCATTTCTAGCAAAAAGTGGGGGGGGGGCTATAGCCTCCCAACCTCCCCTTCTCCGTGGTGCCTGAGAAAAGAAACGCCCAGCTGAGGTAACTTTATCTCATTGAACCACATAACACAAACATGATAACCCCCTTCCCTGCTTTCCATTGAATTTACCGTCACGCAATGTAACAATTGCTTCAGCTTGTTATTTGCTTGCCGGTGTACCGAAGACGCGCTCGTCCATTCGTTTAAGTTTGTAGCTGCAAAGGCTACGAAAGTCATTTCACTCACGAGAACGGTAAGCTTTGTATTGTTACTTCAATTTAACGAGATCAACCGCTGTTAAGTGTAACTTTGAAGTAAAATTTGAACCGCTGCTTTGTTTGTTAAAAATTTTCATGTGTGTCATTTGCCTAAATGAAGCCTGCCTTGAAAATGTGACTGCTAAGAAAGAAAGTGGCGTTTTAAGGGACTAGAATCGCGAAGACGACAGCCATGCCATGTACTGGAAAGCTTTACAACCGCCGACTAGGCGCCAGAGGCAAGGTTTCACCTTATTCGTGCAATAATACAGCATGTTTAAGGGCCTACCGGTATAACGAGGCATCGATCTGCTATGAAAAAAAACCCTTACATGTTTTTGCAGTAAGAACATGATTTCTTTACTTCGACATGCTATTAGAGATTAGCTTAATTTATTTATACTAGTTATGACTAATTTTCCATTATAAAAATAAATTCCCCAACCGCGTAAGTGAGAACTTTCAAGTATCGTGTAATCATGTATGAAATGAAAGGCAAGGTCACAAGCATGCAAGATGAAGCATGCAAGATGAAGCATGCAAGATGAATCACGCAAGCTGAAACACGCAAGCATGCAAAATAACGGAAACGCCTTTTTTCAACTAGAAACAGAAGATATGAAAAAAATAAATTGGAATTTTGTGGACATTTGATCACTACTGACTACCGAATTTTTTTTTACCGATCCAAAGAAAATTTACCCAGTGACACAAAAATATTTGGGGTTGTGGGGGTGTTGCACCCAACACCCGGAAACCACGGACCATTCAAACACTAACAGAACAATGCAACGCAATGCAATATGCAGTTTTTCAGTATAATTCAAATGATGGATATTTATATATCAATGTATTTATTTATGAGTGAATAGTCTACTACAGACATTTTGTTTTCAACGATTTAAGCCCAAAAGATTCTGCATGGCTCTGGAAAGGCTCACCTTATTTTGAAGATTTAGCTATTATGCAAGAAGGTTTTTAGATTGCCCTTAAACATTTTAAACAGTGAAAAAATGACCAAAATTTTCACACATGCATGACCTAAGCATGGCAGGTTATTTCCCACTGTTTCATTGTTACCATAGCAACCTTATAACCTTATTGTCCGAAATCGGATTCCATAAGTCAAGATTTTTAGAAAACAGTAAAGCACAAAGAAAAATGTAAGCTTTATACAGAAAATTAATGTTACAACCAATACAAGAAGTTCCCTTAATTTCTCTGTTCGCCAGCACAAAAAGTTGAAACAATACCGTGGCCCCGGATGCCACGGTTTTAGTTGGACAGGGAAGATGAGGATTGGAGCTGTGGTCATTTATAGAGTATAGTGTATACAGGGGCGAAAATACCGGGGGGTGTGAGGGGGTGTGACACCCCCCCCCCAATCCAAAAAATAGTCGATTTCGCAGGGCAATCGAAGATTTCGCAGGGCGCCAAAAAGAGCTTTATTGCCACGCAGAAATGCCACCTCTGAAGTTCGTAAAGGGCCGTTTAGGAATTTTGAAATGGAAATATCGTATTTTTTATGAACCTCCCTTCTTGACATTGCAATTTAGAGAACGGAACAGGTATGTAAGAAAAAGCTCCGTTATTTGCAAAGCAAAAACATTTCTTACCGAAAGTCATAGCCAATGGATGCAATGACTATGTTTATGAGGGCAAGGTTGAGTCCATGCAAATTAATTTAAGTTAATTTAATTTATTTAAATTAATTTAAATTATTTTCATGACAGGTACGGCGCCACTGGGGGGAGTAGAGGGCTGAAAGCCCCCACTTTGGTCAAGAAAAGAATTTGTTATCATTTTATATATTACTTTTTAACAGTACATGAACCAAAAAACATAATAAATCGTTGAGATACCAATTTTGTTTCATCTAATTGCTAACTTTTTTACGTATATTTTTATCATTTTTCTTTTATTTGCATTAATTCAGTAAATCATTTTCTGTATCATTGCAATGTTCTAATTTTGGATGTGTAAACATGGCCCTCTCGATACAAGAAACTGCACATTTTTGTTCAGGAAAAAAATTCCCCAAATCAAAACAACATCTTCCTCTGTCATTCACAACTATGTGCAATCTGAAACGAAAGGTTGCCGTTTCTTTCCTTCCCCAACGTTTAATACTAGAGTTTTAGCATGATATTCCCCCTCCTTATTTTTCCCAATAAACAATAATATTTTCAATAAACAATCAGTTCTTTTAGCACAATAGTATTTTGCTAAATTTTTGTCTGAAAGATGCTTTTTAGCCCTTTTACAAGTTATAATTTCAAAAATTTTCTTCACGTCGGACCCACCCGGTGGGTCCTCCTACCTCACTAAACTTGATTGTTAGTCCCCCTGGGCTAAATTTCGTTGCGCTGTCAACATCATGTATCCCTCCCCCCCCCCCCCCCCATTAGCTGTTTATTAGCTAGTATTTTGCAAACCAACATTAATTGAAAACCTGTGCTCAGACGGAACACCATATTTTGATGAATAGGCTGGTGTCTACTGAGGCAAAACAACAAATTGCGAGCAAAAAAAAGGGGAAAACTTTGCTATGGCATCCAAAACAAGCGAAGGGTATTGAGAAAGGGAGGGGGTTGTACCTTTTTTCTCACAGAGGCACTTTTTTTTGTCGGAAAGAAATCTAGAATCTAGATTTAGTGAGTAGATAGTCCCTACCACCCCCCCCCCCCAATGGTACTAAAATGCATAAATATGAATAATAATGTTGTCTTATGCACAATGATCAATGCACATTATCTGAAAGTCCCTAGCCTTGGCCTGGACTTCAGTCAGGTTTTTGTTGGATCCGCCCCTGAAGAAACCAACGTGTTACACTGACAAGACATTAAGGCGCTCATTCCAATTACCAAAAAATGTTTAGATGTCACGGTCCAGCATCCACAAAAACAAACACGGTTTGATAATTTGAACATAAATATTAGATTTTAAAATGTCAGAAAGCCTGACGTTTCTTTTACAGGGAGTTGAATTAAGCTCTTGCACCATAGCGTCATCAAACGGTAAAATGTTCTCGACTTACGTGACCTTCGATGCACGCGGTTTTCAACTCAAAAACCTTTGCGTCAAGCTATATTATTTCTATTCAAAGACCTATACTGTATAAACATGCTGTCTTTGCAAAATTTGCAGTGATTATGATTATGCGGATCTTTTGCTTTTAAAGCAATTCTTTAAAATTTAGATGTAAGGAATTAGTTACTTTACATTAAGAGTAAATTTACTTCATTCTTAACTGCAGTAAATAAAAACGGACAGTTTAGCGAATCACTTATAATTTATATACAGTTGAAGATAATTTCTTGCATTTCAAAGACAAGTGTTCTAAATACAGTGGGTGACGTAGAATCAACTTTCTGATTAAAAACATAAATTATAGTCAAATAATTTTTTTGTCTGTATTTGTCTGAAATAATACGTCTATATTGTTTAGAACATGGAAAATAAGCTGGACAAGAATCTGGAAATGAAGTCTTTATTATGCATATGCTTCGTCGCATTATTTCTTCCTTGTGTAAACGCGGCCCTTCAGAACTGCACAGCACCCGTGTGCGATCTGAAGACTTGCAAAAACACATCGAGCAGTTGTTCACAGTTTTGCTATACGAAGGATTGCAAAATGTCTTGTACTTCTAGCGCAGGTTGTTATACTGATTGCGTCAATGGCGGTTGCTCAAAATTGGCCTGCAAGATTGAAAGCCCATCTTCGCCCACCAGACACGTGAGTCATTGAATTAATTGGCCTTTTTCGTTCATAATCTATAACAATATTGAAATAAATGCAATTGATCATTCTCCTTTTCGAAATGGGAAAAAACACAAGTACACAAGATAGCAACAAAGATAAACTGTTCACGCAAAGGTTACTGATGCAAAAAAGTGACACATTAAGATTATTTTATTGAAAACATACAATACATGCCATGTGATTTCGCTCTCATTTTACGCAAAATCTTTTTCTCGGGTTGGCTCTATCTATCGGAAGCCATTCCTTTTTAATTTTCACGGCCGCAAAAAACTTTCCAAACTAACCAACCAAAGCCGAGAAATTACCCACAAAATGTTGTCAGGTTTTAAAATACAGTGATTTGCTTTTTATCTCAGGAACTGAAAATATTACTTATATCTCTTTTTAGCTGTTTAATATTGTTAACTTCGTTTCTAGAAGCCTTGTCAACTAATGTGCGACGAAAACTGCCCAGACATTGAATGCTTTGCTCAATTTTGCTTCTCGATATGCAGAAAATCTAACTGCAAAATGACATGTGACGGCGGGGAAGAAAAGGCTGAGTGTTATCCAAAGTGCCATGGTGGAGGCTGCAGCATCAACGTTAAGTCATACTATACAGAGACGAGTTGCCTCAAAGGATCATGTACAGTGAAGTTCAGCAAGGCAACTAAATGGGGCAGTGTCAATTGTCCCGGCGGAAACTGCTCTCTTACTTGCGCCAAAGGAAACATATGCGTTATACGAAGCCCTTGTCCCAATTGTACTGGACCAGTTTATGTTGACGACCCGTTTGCAAGTGGAACTTCTCAAGGAAGTATTTTGACAAGTACCTTAATCATGTCTGCCATCTGTGCATTGAGTGTATTTATGCTTCTCGCATAACTGTATTGCACTTAGGTCACCATCATGCTTGTTTTAGCTAACCATTTATTATAAGCCACCGAGTATTGTTGTTACTTTTTCTGATATGGTGAAATAATATTAAATTTAAACTGCATTCGATAAACTGCAACAAGCTTTTGAAGCCATCACGCCCTGTTAAAATGGCAATGCAATGTTCGAATAAGCTGGCGGTGGTGTCTTCGAATGCAAACCTAGTTTGTCGAAACCTTAGTTGGCAAGTAAATGCTAAGCACGACAAGGTTTCTTCATCAAATTGTAATTCACAGACATACAGCTTAATTTGTATTATCTTGTATCATCGTGCTTTATCGTGTATTATCGTATTTTATCTTGTTTTATCTCGTACACGTCACATTTTACAAGCATTATGCAGAAACCGAGGCGACTATCCAGCACAGCAAATAGAAAGTGAGACTAGAATAGATAATACTTGGAAAATAATTAAAAGATATAAACATGGCAGAAAAATTTATAGTCGTTGATGAAAATATTTATTCGTAAAAGTGTAATAAGCGTCAACAACACATTTTGCTTGTCTGATATATCAAAAATTCAATCGACAGGTTAACTATAATAATTAAGTTATTAAATATGATAATCGATTCATTCGTTAATTCTGGCCAGGACAAGACTGGATAACAATTATTGTGTAACCCTGATCAGGTGCAACGACAAGCTCGTTTTTCTTACTTCGCATTCTGAAAAAGTTCAAATCGTCTGTTGGGTCAATATCTCTGACAGTATGTCTTGCAATGCAGCATATAGAGCTGCGTCGTGGGGTTGTCAAGAGTTGTTCGGATGGCGATGCCTTCGTTGTTTACCACAATCACACCGAGCACTCCATCGTGTTGCTTTATTCTGTTCAGCCTTGCCTCAACATCGGGGGCAGATTTTGGTTGCCTGTAATTCAAAAGTACGAATAACAGGTTACATGAATGATTATATTTTACAAGATAGAGATAAAAATATTCCAAATAACAGTCATGTAAAATCTGCAAGCCATTCATCAGGCTAGTTTCAACCAAGGCTGTCCAGTTTTCAGTAAGTGTGTTGCCTCAATCAGACCAAAACCGCAGAAAATGCAGACAAAAGAAAACAAGAGGCGCGATCTACTCTTTTGTAACCTGCAAACGTGATATCTTTGTAGTAAATAGCAAGAGAGCATAAACTGCCTTTTGACATCAACATTTCTTAAACCAATCAAGTATTAAACCTGTGCACTTATCTAGTTTTCCTTCGTCATTAACGGCAGCCTAACTTCTTGAAATTTGTGGTGGGAATTTTTCCAACATAAGACAATGTCCCCCAACAAATAATTATTCTCTTCTTTTTACTATTTCGGCACAGTAACATGCCGTGATATTGAAATTTTTTGCAGATCTTCGAACGAGACACTTAATGCAAATTGATTTTGTTTGCAAATTAAAATGTTTGTGCAACTGATTGAACATCAACATATGATCAAAAGATTGAACATCAACAGAAGAAGTCTGTAAATTAATCAGTTTCGAAAAATCAGGCCAAATCAGAGAAATTTAATTTTGAAAATTTGGTAGGAGCCCTGATGCTGTACTAAAACAGATAAATGCTACAGATAGACCCCTAATTACAAATTTTTTTCTGGTAAAAAACTGCTCATATGTTTTTCAGAAATTTTACTTTGTGTTTAAAGTTGAGGCCATAATTGCAGGCTTGGAGAAAGGTCAATAACGCCCAGGCACCGCGGAGCGTTAAGAAAAGTAGGGGGTCTAAAAAAAAAGGGGGGGGGCTAAAACAGTACAAAAAGAGGC